TTCACTTGGCAATTCCTAAATTTGTCTCATCTTAGGCCCCTTCTACAATTCCATATAAAATCCAGATTATCTGTTTTGAACTGAATTATATGGCAGTGTAGACTCATATAATCCAGTTCAAAGCAAATAATGAGAATTATCTGCTTTGATTTATTTGTTTGTTTGTTTATTTACGATATTTTTTATCCTGCCTTTCTCAACCCAAAGGCGACTCAAGGCAGCTTACAGATTGGCAGCCATTCGATGCCGTAATAGTCCACAATATAGTTAAAACATTTAAAACAACATTATAACACAATATAAAAACCATTAAAACATGTAATAACTGATGTCTTCCTGTTAATCTCATTTTCCAGTAGCATCGTCTAAGCTGTTCCATGTTTCAAACTCACATAATCCTTTGTCTTCAGTGCAAGGTTTTCCCAAGCAAGAACTAGCAGTACATTGCAAATAATAATGACTTCTGAGCATGTTTGGATCAGACACTCAAGCAAAAAAAGTGAATCTCAAACGTTCTTATGATGGCAACTTTGAAAGCTGCAGTGCTATCACCCAAGAAAGCCAAGGGTTATTTTAGTGTCCTTACTTTTAACAAGGCTGTTTTGTAGAAAGTATAGATTGTAATGGCCCTCTGGTGGTGCAGCAGGTGAAACCGCTGAGCTGCAGAACTTGCTGACCGAAAAGTTGGCGATTCGAATCCAGAGGAGCAGGGGTGAGCTCCCCCTGTTAGCCCCAGCTTCTGCCAACCTAGCAGTTCAAAATCATGCACATGTGAGTAGATCAATAGGTACTGCTTCTGCAGGAAGGTAATGGCACTCCATACAGTCATGCTGGCCACATGACCTAGGAGGTGTCTATGGACAACGCTACCTCTTCAGCTTAGAAATGGAGATGAGCACCACCCCCCAGAGTCAGACACAACTAGACTTAATGTCGGGGAAAACCTTTACCTTTTATAGATTGTAAAGCAAAGCAATTGCACTCTGCACTAAAATATACACCTATAATACTCAAACCAGTCATGGTATGTCCATCCAATTGTTTCATTTCGTTTCAAAACTGATTACAATCTGCAAACCAGTTATTCTAGATTTTCACATTTTCGCTTCCTTTCTGAGGACTGCAATGCAATGTTTTACTCTTCAAGCCTCGAGCTTCAGAATAATCCCACTGACTTTAGTTGGCTACTACAATGCAAGAATTATTTGGCATTCTCTGAGCTCCGTGCTTTGTACTTTCTTTAAATAGCATTCATTCCACACAGTAATAGAACTACAGACGGTGATGATGCTCTGGCTCCAAGATCAAACACTTTGATCAAGTACATCTAAGCCCTTTTCGCATTCATGTCAGTCTTGGGTTAAACCAGTCCTGAAAGAACTCAAACATTCCTGCTTAATGTTTCTTCCTTTCTAATACCATTTTCTGTGTTTTGTTTATGTACAGATAATAAAAGCAATAATAATTTGAACAAAAGCCTTACCCTACAGATACTGACATTCCCAGTGAAACCACTCATTGAAACTAGTAAAGTGTTAGCAAAATCAGGAAAAGGGTATACATAGAATGAAGCAGCAGGTGAAACATGGAGCAATAGACAGGATTTTTGAAAATCTAGTAGCTAACTGGAGGTGTATAAGGGTTGTCGACAGAATACAGGCAAGTGATCTGCCTATGAAGGAGCAACATTTGAAACAAAGAGTAGTTTGAAGCAAACTTGTAATGCTTATTTAGAAGTCATAGAATCAATCCTGAAATGGGAAGCAGTTCCAAAGACATCAAATCCAATCCCACTCTGCTCTTTAGGAATATATAATCGAAGCATTCCCGACAGATGCCATCCAGTCTCTGCTTTAAAACCTCTGGAGAAGGAGATGCCACCATACATATCCAGAGCAGGATATTCCACTGCAAAACCACAAGGAAATTCTTTCTAATGTTTAGCTATTTTATTTTTACTATTTACCACACTTGTACCCCTCCCTTCTCAACCCTGAAGGGGGCTCAGCGCAGCCTTACAAAGGCAACAGTTTGATGCCACATATACATATCGATAAATAAACAAATGCATTAAAATCAGAACAATTAAAACACCAAATATTAAAACATCAATAAAAAATCACACAATCCAAATCATACTCCAGGGCTCGTCCAAGTCGTCATTATGCAATTTTGTAGTCTCTTATAGTACTGCTCCAATTTATTGACCAAAAGCTTGGTCTCAAAGCCATGTTTTTAGTTTTTTCCTTCAGGTCAGAAGGGAAGGGGCCAATCTAATTTCACTGGGAGGGAGTTCCATAGATGAGGGGCCACCACTAAGAAGGCCCTGTCTCTCGTCCCAACCAGTCGCGCCTGTGAGGGGAGTGGGACTGAGAGCAGGGCCTACCCCGATCTTGGCCTCCGAGTGGATCATAGAGAAAAATACATTCAGAGGTAGAAACTCTTTTCCTGCAATTTAAATCCACTTCTCCTTGACCTAGTCTCTATAGCAGTAGAAAACAAGTCTGCGCAATCTGACACCCATATATTTAAACATGACCATTATGCACCTCTTCACCTTTTGTTCTCTGGTAAACATCCCCTCCCTCATCAGCCACTCCTCATCAGGCTTAGATTCCAGCCTTTGACCACTTTGGTCAGTCTTTTCTGGACACTTTCTAGCTTATCAATATCCTTCTTGAAGGAATGCAGTTACACAGCCTGATAAAATTACTCTAAAGTGCAGGGTATAGTGGCCCCTGCTCATGAATAATGGCCATTTGCTACTACAAACAAGAAAAATTCAAGGCCCATAAGTCAGTGGTTCTCAACCTATGTGTCTCCAGGTGTTTTGGCCTACAGCTCCCAGAAATCCCAGCCAGTTTACCAGCTGTTGGGATTTCTTGTAGTTGAAGGCCAGAATATCTGGAGACTCACAGGTTGAGAATCACTGCCATAAGGCAATCCGGAGGCCTATGAAATGAGAACAGTGGCTCCTATGGGGTTCCTGAGATGCCCTGTGTTTCTGCACAAGGGCTTTGCATTCTGTGGCATCTGAGCCTATACCTCCTGTTTCTGGAAGGCAAGGATTCAACCATAAGGTCCAATGCTTTGGAGCTGGTAGTAAACATGTCCCCATCTTACTGTCATAAAGTTATGCTCTATTGTGGGTCTTTACTACGTGGGGCAGAAGCAAACTTGTAATGGTTATCTAGAAGTCATAGAATCAATCCTGAAATGGGAAGCAGTTTCAAAGCCATCAAATCCAACCCCACTCTGCTCTTTAAGAATATATAATCCAAGCATTCCCGACAGATGCCATCCAGTCTGGTATTAAGCACACATCCAACACCGGAGAAGCAACAGGGCATTACAAGATTACAAGATTCTTGACACATTCGGAGCAGCTACATCACAGGAGGCCCTTCAGACAGGCCCTATACCCCAGGATCGGATCCCAGATTTTATGTTTATCCCAGATTATCTTGCAGTGCAGACTCATATAATCCAGTTTAAAGCAGAAAACCTGGGATCAGATCCTGGTATATAGGGCCTATTTGGAAGGGCCCTAAGTTGCCTTGAAAGGTGGCAGAATCTCTTTCTGTTGATGTTTCCTAAACAGAGATTGGATGGGCAGCTTTTGCTGCCAATTCCCATACTTGCACATCATCTGCTTTGAACTGGGATATATGCTAGTGTGAACTCAGGGCTCTTCCACACAGCCCTATATCCCAGAACATCAAGGCAGGAAATCCCATATTATCAGAGTGTAGACTCAGACAACCCAGTTCAAAGCAGATATTATGATATTTCTGCTTTGATTATTTTGGGATATAGGGCTGCATGGAAGGGCCCAAGGTTAGAACTGTTTTGTAGTGGAATATCCAGCTTTGGAGTGTGGTGGCATCTTCGGGCCCTATATCCCAGAATATCAAGGCAGAACATCTCACAATATCTGCTTTGAGCTGGGTTATCTGAGTCCACACTCAGTTAATGTGGGATACTCTGGGATATAGGGATGTGTGAAAGGGCCCTCAGTTCAAAGCAGATATTGTGGGATTTTCTGCCTTGATATCCTGGGTTATATAGAATCATAGAGTTGGAAGAGACCTCATGGGCCATCCAGTCCAACCCCATTCTGCCAAGAAGCAGGAAAATTGCATTCAAAGCACCCCCGTCACATGGCCATCCAGCCTCTGTTTAAAAGCTTCCAAAGAAGGAGCCTCCACCACACTCCGGGGCAGAGAGTTCCACTGCTGAACGGCTCTCACAGTCAGGAAGTTCTTCCGAATGTTCAGGTGGAATCTCCTTTCTTGTATAGCTTGAAGCCATTGCTCCATGTCCTAGTCTCCAGGGCAACAGAAAACAAGCTTGCTCCCTCCTCCCAATGACTTCCTCTCACATATTTATACATGGCCATCATGTCTCTTCTCAGCCTTCTCTTCTTCAGGCTAAACATACCCAGCTCTTTAAGCTGCTCCTCATGGGGCTTGTTCCAGACCCTTGATCGTTTTAGTTGCCTTCCTCTGGACCAGTGGTTCTCAACCTGTGGATCCCCAGGTGTTTTGGCCTACAACTCCCAGACATCCCAGCCAGTTTACCAGCTGTTAGAATTTCTGGGAGTTGAAAACTAAAACATCTGGGGACCCACAGGTTGAGGACCACTGCTCTGGACACATTCCAGCTTGTCAATATCTCTTTTCAATTGTGGTGCCCAGAACTGGACACAATATTCCAGGTGTGTCCAATATGGCTCTGTGGAAGGGATCTGAGCCTGGGCAGTTCAAGTGGGGTCAAACTGCATGCCTTTTACAATGGAGATGCACCTCAGGGCTGGGTCTGAGCCTTGACCACCAGTTTCCGAAGCAAAACAAACCCTCTGTTGCCAGGGTTGCCTATCAATGTGGAGTGGAAGGAAAGAAGGGTTTGGTGGCACCCAAGGGCTCCCCTATGTCACGCCCTGGATTGAAGGTATCTCCCCCCCCCCCAGCCACCCACCCTGGTTGCCTTGCCCTTCGTACCTCCTCGCCTTGGCCAAACTGCAACCCGAGGGCGACGAAATGCTCCACCCGGATGAAGCCGTCGGCATCCTCATCGCACACATCGAAGACTTCTTTCAGCTTCTGTAGGAATTGCATCAGGCTCGGCGGCTCCCCGCCGGGCTCCATGGCCCTCTTTTGGGGAGATTAAGTGGGAGAAGAGGGAGAGAGGCGCTGCCAACCCACCGCCGCCGCTGCAGCCATGGCCTTGGCTCTGACTTGCCGCTGCTTCCCTCGCCTGATGCCTTCAGCCCCGAGAGCCAACCGCCAATGACATCAGCCAAGGCAGGAGGAGGAGGAGGAGGAGGAGGAGGAGGAAGGAGGAGGGCGGGAAGGAAGGGAAGAAGGAGGGAGGGAGGGAGGAGGAGAGACAATGGAGGGACCGCCAGCCAAGAAGGATGCGCATCCAAGGGATGAGGCGCCCAGAGCTGGGTACCAATCCTCCTCTTCTCCTCCTCCTCCTCCTTCTGCATCAGCTTCCGGATGATCAGCCCCGTCCCTGCTTTGACTGACAAGGACTAACCCGGATTGGGAAACCTCTGGGAGAAGACAAGCATAGAATCCTCCTAGGGCGCCTCTACACTGGCGAATTCGTGCATTTTGACACCGCTTTGAACTGCCATGGCTCACTGCTAGGCAATCCTATGAATCTGTCGTTTGCTGAGGCATTAGCATCCTGTGGCTGAGATGGTGATGATGGTGAAAGAAAGGCCTTGGGCCCTTCCACACAGCAATTTCACCCAGGCAGGAAATCCCACAATATCTGCTTTGAACTGGAATATATGGCAGTGTGGACTCAGGGCCCCTCCACACAGCCCTATATCCCAGAATATCAAGGCAGGAAATCCCACAATATCTGAGTGTGGACTCAGACAACCCAGTTCAAAGCAGAGATTGTGGAATTTCTTGCCTGGATATTCTGCATTATATGGCTGTATGGAAGGGCCCCTTGCGAAACTATAACTCCCAGGATTCCATAGCCTTAAAGCTCTTCCACACAGATCTATATCCCAGGATATCAATCCCACATTATCTGAGTATGGACTCAGACAATTCAGTTCAAAGCAGATAATGTGGAATTTCCTGCCTCGATATTCTGCGTTATATGACTGTGTGGAAAGGCTCCTTGAGAAACGACAACTCCCAGGATTCCATAGCATTAGGGCCCTTCCTATATCCCAGAATATCAAGGCAGGAAATCCCACAATATCTGAGTGTGGACTCAGACAACCCAGTTTAAAGCAGATATTGTGGGATTTCCTGCCTTGATATTTTGCATTATATGGCTGTGTGGAAGGGCCCTTTGCGAAACTATTGAGTCCTTCAGGAGATGCTAGCGGGGTACAAATAAAGTTTAATAATAATAATAATAATAATATAACTATAACTCCCAGGATTCCATAGCATTAGGGCCCTTCCACACAGTCATATAACCTAGAATATCAAGGCAGATAGTGCACGGTGTCCAATTCTGGGCACCACAATTGAAGGGAGATATTGATATTGCCCTCCTCTGGACACATTCCATCCTATCAATAGGTCACTTCCACACAGCTGAATAAAATCACACATTATCTACTTTGAATTGGATTATATGGCAGTGTAGACTCAGGCCCTTCCACACAGCCCTGTAACTCAGAATATCAAGGCAGGAAATCCCACAATATCTGCTTTGAACTAAGATATCTGAGTCCACACTGACATATAATCCAGTTTTTAATCCTTTGGGGGAGCTTGTTTCTTGTTTTTCCAAATGCACTAGCTATTACTTGACAATAGGCTCAGGCAAAAGCAAAGGGCAGCAGCTCCTCCTGACCTGTGTGGTTTCTCCCTTACTAACGTTTGCCATTTTGACCTCATTCTGTTGTTACTTGCCCATGTGCTTCCCAGTTTTCATCTTTGAAACCCTGGGAGGATGGAGGTCATTGTTATTGTGACAATGGTCTTTTTCAGTATCTCATTGTACTGTGATCCCACAAGAACACCTTTATGCAAAAAAGTATTCTGTTTATGTACCTGAGAAGTGGATTAGCATACAAAAGTATAGTAAAGTTAAAGGTTTCCCTTGACATTAAGTCTAGTCAAGTCCGACTCTGGGGTGGTGGTGCTCATCTCCATTTCTAGAGCTGGCGCTGTCCGTAGACACCTCCAAGGTCATGTGGCCAGCATGACTATATGGAGCACTGTTAGTTTCCCATTGAAGTGGTATCTATTGATCTACTCACATTTGTATGTTTTCAAAATGCTAATTTGGCATTTTGCAGGAGCTCACCCTGTCCCCGGATTCCAACCACCGACTTTTTGGTCAGCAAGTCCAGCAACTCAGCGGTCTAACCCGCTGTGCCACCACATTAACTATTGTGGCTTACTGCTGTAGAATTCTGGGGTTTGTAGTTTGGTGAGGCACCAACAGAGAAGGCTAGAGGCCTTATAAAACTAGAACTCCTGTGATTCCATAGCATTGATGCCTGGCAATTAAAGTAGGGTCAAAGTGCATTATTTCTACAGTGTAGATGCGCTCTCAATCTACCAAGTGGGTTAGTCTTAAAGGTACCCCAGGATTCCCTTTTTCCTTTTCTTGCCTGTCGCTTATAATGGGCCCTCCGGCTGTCTTGATCTGCAGCTCCAGACAGCATGGCCAAAGGTCAGGGATTATTGTAGTCCAAAACAGCTGGACGGCTTCATAATTACAAGGAAGAGCTGAAATTGGAAAAATGCTGGCTCTCTCTTCTTTTCAAACTCCAGTCATGTACATGTTGATTAAAGCTTCCCAAGCTAGTGGTGAAAACTAATAAAAATCCAGGCTTGAGCAGTTGGAGTCTAGCCAGGATTTCTACAACTGCTAGCAAGTGCCTGCTTGTTAATGAGTTCATGTGGCTATTACAGCCCTTTTAACATCTCTTGTAATTTCTTTGAGTGATGTTTCAGAAAGCATTACTTTGACTTTCAAAGCCAGTCATCCCCCCACCTCCTCCTTTGTCTAGAGATATTAACACTTAGGTTTGTAATCAAAGGGCATCATATTCATTTCTTGTTTCCAGCCATAAATATTATTCCATTTCCACTTTCTAGGCTTGGAAATTCTGAACTGGAAAGGGGCAGGAAAGTGATCTAAGTCCCATTTTTCTAATATGTACAATGTTTTTCTCTATACCGATCTGGTACCTTCCAAAAAAAAAATCTGCCAGTGTTAATAGTTTGCATTTTACCACCTTTATTATTTATTTATTTAAAACATTTATATTCCGCCCTTTTCACCCCGACAGGGACTCAGGGCAAAGCACAGCATATACACGGCAAACATTCAATGCCAGGACACAAATTCACATACATGTACATAAACATTAAAAAACATTTATCGAAATATTAAAATACACCATTTAAAACTGTCCTAGTCATCCAATTTATTCAATTCTAAGGTGCCACTGATTGTAAGACATACACTAATTTCAGTTCAGGTAAAAAAGTTATATACACACACATACACACACATAAAGAAAGGTAAAGTCCAGTTGTGTCTGACTTTGGGGGTTGGTGTTCATCTCCATTTCTAAGCCAAAGAGCCAGCATTGTCTGTAGACACCTCCAAGGTCATGTGGCTGGCATGTCTGCCATTACCTTCCTGCCAGAGCAGTACCTATTGATCTACTCACATGTGCATGTTTTTGAACTGCTAGGTTGGCAGAAGCTGGGGCTAATAGCGGGAGCTCACGCTACTCCCCAGATTCGAACCTGCAACCTTTTGGTTAACAATTACAGCAGCTCAGCCTGTGATTCTAAGGCACATCGCATTTTTAGAGATGTTTATATGAGGAAGCGGGAGTGCATCTCAGAATCAAAGAAATACAGTTAATGTGGTTCCTTTTTCTTGCTAATGTCAAGGTGTTTGGTTTTCATTCACATTGCACATTTTTGTAAGCCATCTTCGGTGTCCTTTTTTTAAAGCTAGAACGGTAAAATATAAATCCCCCCAAAACACAACAATTCAGTCCTGAGAGTGGCTTCACTTCCTTTAGCCTGAGCTGCCAAATAGATGTTTTCCCAACAGAGTGCAAAATATTGAAGACATAGTAATTCAGAACTGGAGAACCAGAGTCGTGTAGTGGTTTGAGATCTGAATGCTGGAGACCAGGATCTGTATCACCACTTCACCATGGAAACACAGTGGCTGATCATTGGGAAGTCACACTCTCTGAGCATCAGAGAAATACAAAGGCAAATGCTCTCAGAACAAATCTTGCCAAGAAAACCCTGTAATAGGGTTGCCTTAAAAGTAAAAGTAAAGGTTTCCCATTGACATTAAGTCTAGTTGTGTCTGACTCTGGGGAGTGGTGCTCATCTCCATTTCTAAGCCGAGGAGTCGGCGTTGTCTGTAGACCCCTCCAAGGTCATGTGGCCAGCATGACTACATGGAGTGCTGTTACCTTCCCGGAGAAACGGTGCCTATTGATCTACTCAAATTCACATGTTTTCGAACTGCTAGAATGACATAAACTGGGACTAACAGCAGAAGCTCACCCCACTTCCTGCATTAGAACCACTGATCTTTTGGTCAGCAAATTCAGCAGCTCAGTGATTTAACCTGCTGCACCACTGGGGGCTCCAGGGTTGCCTTAGGGTTGCCCTAAATCAGAAACTGCTTGAAGGCATACAACAAGAATTTATGATTATTGTTTGTAGTGTTTGTTGCAAAAAATGTTGAAATTTCATGTGCATTCCCCATTCAATTCCTAATCTTATCTTTACTGTTCTATGTGCTCTTTGAACATACTTGCAGGGAAGCTGGAGATTTTTTTTTCTTCTTGCCCATGCAAATATTTTTTGCAATTACTTAGGTTACTTTACAGCATATAATGTCGAGGGACAAGGAGTCAATATGGCTTTCAAGGAGTGCATCTGTCCATTTAAATGAACAGTCTGTCCTCAAGATGTGTCATGGCCTGCTGGCTTTGCTACACACTGTGCCTTTATGCTTCCTTGTACTTTATATTGTAGCATCCAGCTCGGCTGAAGCAGATTTGAAAGATCTCTAGTCTTTCCCCACTTGTTATCCTCCAGATGTGTTGAACTTTAATCTCCACAATTTCTCATCAACATGGCCAAACTCTAAGCTGCATCTGGCAGGGACGAGAGACAGGGCCTTCTCAGTGGTGGCCCCTTTGCTGTGGAACTCCCTTCCCAGGGATGTTAGATCAGCCCCCTTCCTCCTGACCTTTCAGAAAAGAGTGAAAACTTGGCTCTTTGAGCAAGTATTTGGAGTTTCAGCGTGACCAGATAAACACAAAATTGTAATATGAACATGAAACAGCTAAGACGATGTAAACGGATGAGGAATTGGACTGGAAAACATTGTTGTTTATATATTTTTATAGTTTATATAGATTTGATGGTTTTTATATGTAGTCATGATGTGATTTAATTGTCTAAACTAATATATGTATATTTATAAGTCATCTAATTG